GTCAATAAATGTATCCTTGCCTCATTTTGGGTACGCGGTTCAATGAAATTGTAAATGAGCCCCGCCTCCACTCACTCACACCAGCTCAGAGACGTTAACGATCACACGTTGATCAGGGGTGCGTTTCCCGTACAACGACTTAGTTCGCTGATTCACTACCATAGTACGATGCATCGTTGGAAAAATCAACTAGCTAAAAAAAATCACGGCTGTTTCCCGAAACCCAATGTCGCAAAGTATCGTTCAACCACGTTGGTTTCTCGCGCAGTGGAGTAATAACTACTTTTAATGAAACTGTTTGAGATCCAATTAACGCTAGATTTGTTTTATATAAATTACAGACATGTCATCTGAGGACTATTTCTAATTGTTCTTATTGTTCTGCTTTATTACCAGACTCAATATTTGGCTCGTTCTTACATAGTAGAGCACGTTCGCACATGCACACTCTTCAAACACGGTACTTTAAATGTTTTGACAAACTAAAAGACGTAAATTCCATTTGTATGTATGCTGAATAAAAGGCACCGGTTGTACTGAATGTCAGCTTGCTTATTTTGCTCAAGATAAGGATTTATTATCCCCAAATGTGATGCAATATAGAAACTATGCCTCTAACCACAGGTCGAGAGCTGTCGTTCAAACCACACAACTTTGCAATGCTGTTTGCGAATGTTCGTTGGAACGATGGTTTCGGGAAACACCGACTCGTTGAACTATGCTGATAACGACAGAACTTGCGACCATAGTTGGCTAACGATGCTTTCGAAACGCACCCCTGATTAGTTACAATGTAGTTTGTGACGTCCGAAACACCAGCGATTTCAAACCGTGTTTTTGAGACTGACTTTGGTTCAATGCAGTTTTAAGAAGAAAATCCTCAGCAATGCTGTCGACTTATGAATTTGGACATGATTTGTCTTAAAGCATATTAAAAACAACACATAGACATATAACAACATTAAAAGCTTGATTATCACCATGGCTGGCTTTAAATATATTGCTCAAGTCAGCTAATTCTTTCAAAAAAAAAAGTTGATTTAGTTATTTAGTTTACTGCTTTATCAGCAAAACATAACAAGCAATCCCTTTTGTAGACAGAAAATGAAATTGTGTCCAATGTCTTTTTCTGGAAATTCTCTTTTCAGGAAATGCTTGGCCAGATGGACACTAATTTCTAAAGCCTCATGGGTGTGAGTAGGAAGAAATCAGACACCCCTGTGTGCCACATGATCTTTGTTATTGGATATTCTGAATGAGGGTGTGTGTCTTGAATGCTGGTTTAGTCTTTTTATATTAGATTTGTACTTTGCAGTTTTTCATAAATGGTCACTGAATGTCAATTATGATGGATGTTGCAATCATGCCTTGGATCCGTCTGGATTCAGTCTGATTTAAGACATCATATATCACACAAAATATACTTTGATAAAAGCAATATCTGAAGGGTTTTATCCAGCCTATACGCATACAACTGTCAGTTTCAATCAATATTACAAATACATAATTGACAGGACTTTACATCAGCGGTTGTACATGTTTATACAAGTATAATATAATATATGGATAGCATATTCTTTTTCTATTTAATGTGAAGTATTTTCTATACACTATACTTACAAAATTTGTATGTAAACAAGCAGCTTTGATAGTTTGCTCCATTGGGGATCAATATGGGTATGATAGATGATAAAGGAAAAAACAGTTTAAAGCAAATTTAAAGTGGAAGGCAACTTCTTTGAATTGACCAAATTTACACATTTAAAGGGATAGTTCACTTTAAAATTCATTTTTGATATGTTTTAGCTTACTTCAAGGGCATCCAAGATGTAGGTGTCTTTGTTTCCACAGTATTTTCACTTTTGACATTTTGTCTGTCAGTCATATAATGCAGGTTAAGGGGGTCCACATCAAAGAGCATGCACAGAGAAGTCCAAATTAAACATGATTTAATAACTCGTAAATGTAAGTACACACTGATGGCCTAAGACACGAAACGAGCAGTTTGTGTGAGAAAACGAACAGTATTTATATCGTTTTTACCTCTTGTTAACAGCCATTTCGAACTGATCTGAATCTCTCACGCGTCTTCAGTACGTCACGCATTGTTTCCACAGAGATTTCGGAATTTTTACCTTTCACTAAACATATTTAGATATATCGAAATCGTCTTCCATTGCTATTTCCCGTATATCTAAATTTGTTTAGTGGAAGGTAAAACTTCCGAAATCTCTGTGTAAACAAAAAAAAAGCTCCAAATGCATGGCCTTTACAAGGCTAAATATTCAAAAATGTGTACAAATTGTACACACAAATTAAGTTATGATTTAATGAAAGAACTATGAAAATAGGGCCCATTTTTTTGAATTCATGAGTTGATAAATATTACACAGTGTGCATGTCCTGTCTTGTCC